AAAAGGGCTCTAACAGTACAAAAAGGCAGAGAAAGGAGAAATTCTCTTTCTTTGTTCTTGAGCTGGGATGCCCATCTTCTCTTGTCCTCGGACATAGCAGCTCCTCATTCTCAGGCCTTTGGACTTGAGCTGAATTATATTATCTGCTTTCCTGCTTCTCCAGCTTGCAGACAGCAGACTGTGGGACTTCTCGGCCTCCAAAATCGCGTAAGCCAATTCCTATAATAAATCTTCTCATATGTATATATATCTATATATATCCTATTGATTCAGTTTCCCTGCAGAACCTGACTAATACAGTGTGTTTCTTCCTCTTTATTTTTATAGTTAAAAACAAAATAAAACTCCTCCATCCACAAATTTATCTCCAGATGGCTCAGCCTTGCTTTTCTTGGGCTGCTGTAAGCCAAAGTAGGTGAACAGTCTATCACAATGATAAATTGGAAATTTCTGGTAGACAGTATTGGTAGCATACTCAATAGCCACCTCTCCTTATTTTTCTTATTCACAGAATATTCATTTTGTTCAAGGATAAGGTATATTTGTGCTCAAGGGTAAGAGGCCCTCCTCTAGCCTGGAGATGTGAATCATGATTGGTCTAAGCCCATCATGGTAACCTTAGCTTGGCCTTCTGTGAATAATGCTAAGAAGGTCAAATTTATACATTTAACCTATATTTATTCAGCACAAAGCACTATTCTTGGTGGGGAAATATAAAGATGAACCAGAGTAACTAGTGGTCCAAAATCAGAGGCCTATCAAATAATAACATAAATAATTTTTGCCATGAAGTAAAAGTATTGTGTGTAGTAAGACGATGTAATTGGAATCTTGGGAGAAATAAGAGAAAAGGGGTGTCGAGGAAGATTTCTCTAAGTAAGTGGCACTTAAGCTAGTAAGTAAAGATGATAGGAACAAAAATTTTTCAAGCTTGTATAAAGGATGTGAATGGGAGGAAACTTTGTACATTACACCAACTGGAGATACCAAATGCGGTAAGATCAAAGAGGGTGTGAGAGGTTATGTTGGGAGTTTCAGACTTTAGCCAAAAAGGAAAAATGGGAAGTCACTAAAGGATTGTAGTTTGCAATCATAAGACAGATTTTCATTGAAAAAAATATTACTCTGGCTGCTCATGAAGAATGAACTGAAAGGAAACCAAGTAGGAATGTGTGAAGTCCATTAACAGCTCATTAAAAGAGAAGGTCACAGCTTGGACTAAAGCTGCTCTTCCAGGGTGGTAAGCACTGGCCGCATGTGGCCACCACATGCTTGAAGTGTGGGTTTTCCAAATTAGGATGTTCTGAGAAGTTGTAAAATACACACCAGATTTCAAAGACTTTGTAAGAAAAAAAGAGCATATATGTCTTATTGATAATATTTTATATTGACTATATGTTTGAAATGACAATATTTGGGATATAAATTGAGCTAAATAATATCTTATTAAATTTAACTTTTCAATGTGCCTACCAGGGAATTTAAACTTTTATGTGGGACTCGTATGTGTGGATTTCATTATATTTCACTGGACAGTGCTGATCACCGTGTTGACAGTGCAAATGGAAAGAAGTAGACATACTTGAAAAGTGTTTAGGAGACTAAGTTGACTAATTTGGTAATTTACTGTGGAAGAGAAAATTATCAATGATCATATCTCTCTTTCCATTATGAGTAACTGGATGGATACATCATTTCTTGAGACATCAAAGAGGAGCTATGTTAGGGAGAGTTTAAAGATAATGGGTACACATTTGGTCATGTTGAGTTTAATGTTCCCCAGAAACGATATCTGAGCAGGACATATGAATTTAGGAGTTGCTTAAATATGGTAAATGAAGCCATGAGAGTGATTGGGTTCAAAGGGAAGCAGATAGTTTAAGGAAAAGAGGAAGAGCCTGAGAAGGAACTTCCAGATGGATAGAGGCAAACTAGGATAGTGTGTTGTCAGAAGAAAATGAGGGAGATGCCATCATATCAAAGGCTATTGTGGCAAAAACAGCAGAATGTTGATGATTACTTACATTCAATGATGGACACGCAGAAGTTCATTGTTCCTCTTCTCTCTATATTTATGTATCTTAAAATCCCTATAAATGCAAAATGGTTGTGGAGCTTTCTGGAAACCTGGAAAGGTAAGGGCTGAAACATGTGCTTTGAAACCTGATGCTTCAGCTAAGCCATTCATAAATTTCTATCACAATGAAATTGCGCACGTTTATAGCTCACTTAATTAAAAGATACAACAGATATAGATCTTAAGGCTCAGACAGGTTTGTCCAATGAAGGAATACCTTGTGTACATTCCCTCTTCCATGGTAATAATTGTGTAATTCTGTGTAATTTGAGAAGGGAGAATGTAAGAAATTTAAGTACTTGTTGTCCACAGGGGAGAATGAGGATAAGAGAAGGAAGGTTTGGATCATGTCCTTGGAATTTTCATCCTTTCTACTGACCCGAGGAGCAAGAGAGAGAGATGTAAAACTGAGATTTCAATTAGGTGGATGATAACACCCAGTAGCTTAAGCAAGGATAACAAGCTAGTCCAACTTTGCAGTTTCCAGTTATTAACATTTTAGCCAACGAAGGGCCAGTATTGTCTAAGTCTTCGTGCTTGATATATTGTAATTATTGTGATTATAAATTCCATTTCCTGGGATTTTCACTTTGATTAGGATAATTCCAAATGTCAGAGATTGATAGATTGTGCCTCAATATTTTTTGTCTTCTCTAGGCATAAGTAGAGTAGGATTCCAAGAGCAGTGAAAATAAGAAAAAGCAATATTTCAAGTTATGTTGAATGCATGAAAAAGTTTAACACAATGGGGGCACCAGGTGGCTCAGTTGGTTGGACATCTGACTTCAGCTCAGGTCATAATTTCACAGTTCATGGTTTCGAGCCCCATGTCAGGCTCTGTGCTGACAGCTCAGAGCCTGGACCCTGCTTTGGATTCTCTGTCTCCCTCTCTCTCAGCCCTCACCCCGCCCCCGCTCGCATTTTGTCTCTCTCTCACACAAATAGACGTTAAAAAAATTTTTTTTTTAAGTTTAACACAATGTTAACTGTAGAAAAACTCAATTCTTAAAGTTATTTCAAAAATGTACTAGAAATATACCTTTCTGTGAAAAAAATAACTTATTTGACTATGGCAAGAGAATAGAAAGTTCACAAACAGGATACACGAGAGTTAAGTATTGAAAAAAATTCAAGTTAGCAGGTTAAGTCTGTATTATTCCATGAATGCCTTTGAGACAGCTGATCAACTATTTGTAATAATCTATAATAAAATAGAATTAGATTCCTAGCACCATATGCCCAAATATATGAAAATAAACTCCATATGTGTTGAATATCCAAATGGAAAGTAAAGCAGAAATGCTAAAGGTTACATAAATGACTCTACATATAAGCAGAAAACATAAAGGGAAATATTGATAGATTTAACTTACACATTTCAAGACATTAAAAACACTCTAAACTAAAAGGAAAGGCAAAACACAACATTGAGAAAATATTCAAAACGCAGAAGAAAAAGTGATTTAATATAAAAAAGATTTATTTAATATAAAATCTTATAGAACTATAGGAAAAAGGAGGAATGTCTGGCTAAGATATAGGCAAAGGTGTGAAAAGTAAATTTCCAATAGTAAAAGGTGAAAGATGTATACGATCTGAAGAGAAACAAGAGTTAAATTCCCAACAGTAAAAAGAGTAAAATTCAATATTATGTATCAAAGATTTTTACAATAATAAATGCTACTCTCATATTATAGGCTCTCTCATGTTGATATAACAATATCTTTTTGGAAAGCAATTTCAAACTATGCTTTAAACCTAAAAATCTATGTACAGTTTGGGCCCAGAAACTTCACTTACAAAACTATATTTTAAGGAAGTTATCATGGTTGAGTATAGAAAATACATGTAGAAGAATATTCATTAAAATGTTATTTAAAATTATGAAAATTGTAACAGCCTGTGTTTCCAGGAAGGGAAGATTGAGTAAATATAGCGTTTTACAGAAATACAATGAAATGTCATTCAGGAAAGATGTGAGGATGAATATTTAATATTCTGAAAATGTATACATTTTAAATTGTAACAAAAAGTGTTGTCTCATTTGCTGCACATAGGATTATAGAATATACACCAAAATGTAGAGGTGGCTATTTCTGGATGGTAGAATTATGGTGGTAGAATAATGAAAAATGCTCCTCTCCTTTGGCTTGTCAAAATTTTTGAAGTGTTTTCTTATTTCTGATTTCATATAATTTACTTTTTTAAATTGTGACACAGCTCAAATATACAGAAAAGTATAAAGTATACTATAATAAACATCTTAGAACTGAAAAATCAAAGTGCCAGGTCTTAATGACATTTTACTATTCCAATTTCAGAGGCTTTTCTTTTCTTTCCTTTGCTTTTCTTCTTTGCTTTTTCCTTCTGTTCCCTTTTTTCTTTGTTATTTCTCAGAATTAAATAAGATTTGTACTTCAAACCACAAGGAAATAAGGTCAGGAATGACTTTCCTACCTTAAACAATCTGAAAAAATTAAATGGTAGGAAACAGCCACTTTCTGACATTGGACAAAAGGCCATCAAAACAACCTGAAAAAATTAAATAGTAGGAAACAGCCACTTTCTAACATTGGACAAAAGGCCGTCAGCATTGGGCCCCTAAATCACCTGTAAGTTCTGCCTCGAGGTTAATTGTTGATCTGTAGTACAGATACATTTGACATCTTCCTCCCTTGGGCACCCTTCTTAGATCTCATTTCTAGTCTTTTCTCTCCATCTCCACCATCCCAAACTTGTTGTTTATCAGTCCACACAGATTTTTGTATTTTTACTATGAACATCTATCTAGCACTATAGGTTAGTGTTGTATGTGGTTTAAAGTTTTATGGAAATGGTGTCAAATGGAAGCGCCTCCAGTACAGCACTGTAAACAGCAATGCATTCTCCCTTGCCACCCACTCACCTGCCTGTTGGTTATATGATGGCCCACACTATGAAACCACTGGCAAAGACGTTTAAAGGAGTTTTAGTAGGTGAACTTGTGGATATTTTTGGAGCATATCTTTTGTTTAATAAGATGAACACAAGCCAAGCTTTCAGACAAACAACGAGCAAGACATTTCCCTTCATCTTGGAAGTTTATTACAAATCCATTGAGCCTTCTGGAATGTATGGAGTCAGAGAGCAAGATCAAGAAAAATGGTTGAATAGCAAAAATTAGGACCAGTCATCACATTCAGCCTCCCATCTAAGCTGTTTGAGACCTTTGTCAGGGAGAAGAAAGGTGAGCACACCACACTGAGCCTTCTGGCCCCACAGAACAAAACAGAACCTTCTGCTGTGCTGTGGATTTCAGTCGTTTCCCATCTGCTATGTAGATCTTCTGCTTTTGTTTGTTGCTTTCCTTCTGCATTTATTTTCAAAGATTACTGTTTAACACATAAAAGACTAGGACAAGAAAGGAAAAAAATAGTATCATATATATGCATATATTTTGCTCAAAACTATGTGTTTAAGATTATTTTTTAAAAATATTAATCTCTGAAACTCTGATTTATTTCCCTTAGCTGATGCATTATTACTCTGTTGTACGGATCTATGATAATTTACTCATCTATTCCTGTTTTGATGGACACTTGGTTCATATTTTATACCATGAGTGGATATTAGTTTTACAAAATCACAGAAGTTATTAGGAAAGTTGAGGAATATTAGAATGTTATTAGGAATGGGTAAAAAATATTACACAATGAATTCAAAAAATTTGGCTGCAGCATCTTATGGGAATTCTATGATTTTTCCCCTAAAATGCAAATATCCATGGATAAGTTCTCCTTTTATGGGATGACCTCTGTTTAACTCATAATAACTTAAAACTTTTCATCTTTAAATTTTAAAAAAGCTCTTTACTATCTGAAATACTAAGAAGAATTTAAAAGAAAAAGCAAAAACCTCTTTAGATTCTTTTTATAAAAGTTTCCCAGGCAATCATACATCTGGCAAAAAGACAGTTTCAGCCATTTTTAAAGGTCAACTGAATTTTAACATACAATAAATTGATATTGAATATATTGATTTTTTTTTTAAATAGTTTATTTATTTCTAGGAGAGAGAGACAGCGTGAGCAGGGGAGGGTCAGAGAGAGAGGGAGTCACAGACTGAAACAGGCTCCAGGCTCCGAGCTGGCAGTCAGCACAGAGCCCGACGCGGGGCTCGAACCCACAAACCGCGAGATCATGACCTAAGCGAAAGTCGGAAAGTCGGACGCTTAACCGACTAAGCCACCCAGGCGCCCCAGAATATATTGATATATTTTTGGCTTGAAAAGAAAGTCTGGGACAGAGCATGTTGGTATCAAAATGGGGAAATAAAGAGTGTGTTTTGCAATAAAGAGTGTGTGTAGAACATATACTTTAAAGTTGTGTGTTCTGGGGCACCTGGGTGGCTCAGTCAGTTAGGCACCTATGAGTTGGAGCCCTGCATCTGGCTCTGTGCTGACAGCTCAGAGTCTGCAGCCTGCTTAGGATTCTGTCTCCCTCTCTCTCTGCCCTTCCCCTGCTCATGCATTCTCTCTCTCTCTCTCAAAAATAAATGAACATTAAATTTTTTTTAAATAATAAAACAAATCTGTATTTTTTTAGAAAATCTGAAACATATGATTATGGTAGATTAAAATGGATTCTTGTCTGCCTTGCTGACATTTTTATTCAATACCTGCTAGATGACATTAGAACTCTAAGAAAGAGAATAAGAAGACAGTATATTGACATCTAAATCAATGCTCATTTAGGGAAATATAGGTATGTGTATATACATAGCACTATATACTATATAGGCCATCTTTTTATTAGAAATTTCAAAAAGTTGATGTTATATTAATTCTTTAAAAAACTAATGGTTTCAATTTTATCATTATTTCTTTGTTGTTTATATTTATTGTTATTTTCTTCAATATACACTCATATATATTAGCCATATTCTCAGGAAACAACTTCTAGCAGTTAATGTACACTCTCCCTCTCTGAAGTACCTTTTATTTTCTGTTAAAACAGTGATTGAAATGGAGAAGTAATTTTGAATGGAAATAAAGCATGTGTAACAAACTGTATGGATGGAGCCACTCTTTCAAATGTATTAGTAAAAATCTGTTGTGGATAAATTTGTGAAGACATAGCATTAGTTTTTGTGCATATAGTTTTCATTTATTCATTTGCTCCACAGTATATTTGAATGTCTGTGAATACCTAAAATGTGACGAATTGCATACCAACTGTACTGACTGCTTGGTAGTCCTGAGCCCTAAGCTCTAACTATGACAGCACAAGCAATAGGCAATTTGGTACAGTGATGAAGAATGGTGGCTCTGGGGCACTTGGATGTCTCTGTTGGTTAGGTGTCGGACTTCGGCTCAGGTCATGATCTCATGGTTCGTGGGTTCAAGCCCCAGCTCTGGCCCTGTGCTGACGTCTCAGAGCCTGGAGCTTGTTTTGGATTCTGTGTCTCCCTTTCTCTCTCCCTCTCCCCTGCTTGCTCTCTGTCTCTCAAAAATAAATACACAGTAAAAAAAAAAAAAAAAAATGCTGGATCTGATGAAGGAACCCAAGACTTTTATTTAACCTGTGTGACCCTGAGCATGGTATGTATGCAACTTCTTTGAGCATTCATTTCCCCATTCATAAATAAGGGTGAAAATAGCACCTAGGATTGTTAGAGAATGATATGGTACAATGTGTGTACAGCTCAGTGGCCAGCACATGGAGAGGGCACTGTCAGTTCAAGATGATGATGAACCCATAATGATAGTTATGTTGGGCCAGAGCTACATACTCTTTGGGTGTATGTTTCCTCAACTGTAAAATGCAGGGTTGAACCAAGTTCTCTTTAAGAGCAAATAAATGATTGTTTGGTCACAGGGTCACTCCTGGCAGAGAACATTGTACCTCCATTGCCTTAGGTCAAACTCTGTATCCTGGGAGGTCTTTAAGGGCTAGTGGGAAGTGCAAATACACAAAAACCACAACTCTTTTTCTGAGATATGCACAGGTTAATTTTCCACAGTGTTTGAAGTCCCATATGTAACCTATGCCAAATTCTAGCAAAGGTCATGCTTTCTTTAATTTAACACAGTGAACTAAAAAGTGTTCTTTGGTTAGAGTTGAAACTCCAAAGTCATCACTGAAGGAATGACTGATTATATTTCTTCCCACTTTCCAAACTTTTAAGGTCTGCCTTATAAACTTACACATAACACCAAATACATTACTGAGTGTGTCAGGATTTTAACACTTAAAAAATAGAACTGTTAATTTTTGAAAATATTTTTAATATCCATTTCAAAGATAATATTTAATGATCTGTTATTTTCCTATACTCTCATTAAAAATTGTTCTTTTTATGTCCCTTTTCATTATAGTATTTGGAGCACATAGTTTTGTTTTAGACTATTTCTTTTATATGTTTTTGCTTGACATTTTGGGTTTTGGGGTTTTATCTGCTCTGTTTTTGATTTTAAAATGTATTTTCAGAGCTGATTTTTTAAAGTATTTTTTAATTTATTTGTGTGTGTGTGTGTGTGTGTGTGTGAGAGAGAGAGAGAGAGAGAGAGAGAAAGTGCTTGTGCACACAAGCGGGGGAGGGGCAGAGGAAGAGAGAGACACAGAATCTGAAGCAGGCTCCGGGCTCTGAACTGTCAGCACAGAGCCTGACATGGGGCTTGAACTCATGAATCACAAGATTATGATCTAAGCCAAAGTAAGACGCTCAACCAACTGAGCCCCCCAGGTCCCCCTTCTCAGAGCTGATTTCTTATATTGATAGCTTGAATTCAGTTTTTTCTCTCTGGGGTAAAGTGAACACAAAACTGCTAAATTGCTTGCAAGTTTTCCCTCATCTGCCTATTATCATTTAGAGCTTCCATAGCCTGTTAACATTTTCAAAGTATTTTAACACTGTTTTAATTTGTGTTATGCCTGTGAAATGAGAATGCCATAAATACCCCCAAAGTAGGTTAGTTTATAAAGGATCAGTAAACATCTTGATTTTCAAGGGAAAATAAAGACCCAAACTAAACATCAGAAATAACAGGTAAATATATTTAAATAAATGCAGTACAAAAACAAATCTAAAGGAAGTGTTCCTTGCAACAGCGGAAGGAGGAAGCTAAAAACAAATGTTATTTTTAAGAAAATGCTTTAATAGTCTCCTTTTTAACAGTACTTTTTAACAGTACTCTTTAAAATGTGTTATATTACATACAGCAAGTGCACAGATCTTACATCTGTACAGCTCAGTTAATTCTGACAAATACCTACTTTGAGCTTCCCTGTACCACACCTTGCACAGGATCATACAGACATGTATATGTCTGTCTCTCTCCCAGCTCCTTCTACAACAGTGTAAGCTCTCTTGAGGGTAGGGGCTGAGCCGAGCTCACTTGCTTCTCTGTGCCCCCATAGAGCCTGATAGGTACTTAATCAATGATGAATGAATGAATAAATAAATAAGCACTCATAAACAGGATATTCTGTTACACTGCCTGGCTGCAGTGTAGAGAGTGTGAAGAGTGAAGAGATGATGAGGTTAAAAGTAGACAGTACCTGTAGCAGTCTCAGCCTGAGGGTGTTGGAGGCAATCCATCAGTCAGGTCTCTTTTTAAATACAGTTCTGAGCTCCTCAGAAAGAGACCATTGGGGGTGGGGAGGGGATGCTATGCCTTGGGGCAGACTGGCCCAGGAAACAAAAGGCTGTTTCAAGTATTTGGTTCTAGGAGTCAGAAGCATAGAAGTGGCAAAAATCTATTCAATACCTGTTAGTTGACCCACCCAGCCTGTGCAAGGAGGCTCTTTAAGGAGCCAGCATTCGAAAATCTCTCCTGAAAGTAATATTCTGCATTACGTACCAGTGTTCTGTGAGAGCAGCCGCACAAAGATCAAGCAGTAATTCAAAACAAATGCGTCTTGTTAATTGGGGGTCACATTGTTACCTAGGATAAATATATTCCAGTGTATTGTTTTGGTAAAATGTCAAGGAAAAGAAAAATGGAAAAAATGTGAAAAGGTATACAAGCATACTTATGAGAATAAATCAGTCATACATATGCTTAGAGAAGTCACAGCTCCAATAGACTTGAGTGACTTAGCTATACAAGCTGTGGTTTTTGCTGATGCACTGGTCAGATGAGTGAGTTCTTGGTCCCCTGGCTATTTTGGATATCTTTCCTGCAAGTGGTAATTCAGGGAACCAGGCTCCTTTCCTCTTA